TGTGAACAAGGCAGGAAATCACAGGGTAATTATTGATTACAGGCCTGGGAACCTCATCTTGACACGAGAATGGAGGTGCTACCAGTTTCTTTGAAGACTCTCTGCTCCCATTATGTATGAGGTGTTTCATCAATATCCCTTCTTGGATGAATAACATACATCATGCAGGGGAAATTTCAGCTCCTAATGTGGCTTGCAAAGCTCAGCTCTGCTCTCCATCCTCAGATTGCTCCTCCTCCAACTCTTGGCACTGCTTTTCTCTGCCTTTGGCTTGCACAGAATCACAGACTGGTTTGGGTTGGAAGGACATTAAAGATCACCATCGTCCTGTTCATGGGCAGGGACACCTTCCACCAGCCCAGGTTGCTCCAAGCCCATCCAACCTGGCCTGGAACACTCCCAGGGATGGAGCAGCCACAGCTGCTCTGGGCAACCTGTGCCAGAGCCTCAGCACCTCACAGGGTGTGTTTCTCCCCAGTATCCAGCCTAAATTTAGCCTCGTTCAGTTTAAAGCCATTAATGCCCTAACACCACTTCCAGCCCTGCTAAGCCTCATCCCTCTTGTTGCTGTGGGAATTCACAGCCCATCTGCAGGAACAGGGCACTGAGCTGGGCTGAGGGAAAGGCTCAGCTTTGCTCCAGGCCTACACCCTCAGCACAAGGACCTGATGGAGCAACTCCACCCTCAGGAACAGAAAGACACAGTTTAGCACAGCTAAAGGACTTAATCCGGTAAGGACAGTGTCACGGCACAGCACGCAAGGAGCAGAACCCCTAGGCTGCTGCTCAGCACAGGGCAAAGAAAACTCCTGTGTGCCTCCAATTTCCTCTGCTCTTGCTGCTCTAATGAGCCATTTGGTCTGCAAACACACAACTGCTCCTGCTGCTGTGGCCAGTGCTGCAGAGCTCACGGTGACCACAGCCACCATGGTCATAAAGGCACAGCAAAGGAACTCAGGAGTGGCCAAGTGACCACTGCCCTTCCCATGTCACCCCCCACACTCACCAACAGCCTCCAAAACACTCACAGGCTCCAGTTTTCTCCTTCATATAGAAAAGGAGCTAACGACTAGCAATACGTTAAGACCAATTAATTATTTCCTGTAAGAAACATTCCAGGGTTTTTTCTGAGGTGTCACACACTCAGAGAAGTGGGAAAACCTGACTGACTCTTTGCACACTGGCATTCCATGCTGAGCCATGACACAAGTTGTTGCAAATTCCAGTTTTTCAACTGCATTTAAAATATAAATATATTGGATGCATAGGCTAAACTTGACAGACAAGAGGGAGAGAACTCCTGGAGGTGTTGGGAAAGCAGCTTCAATCCTCTTCCCCTCTACAGCTCCCTGACATGAGGTCCAGCCAGGGGAGGGTTGGTGTCTTCTCCCAGGTAAAAACTAAGAGGACAAGAGTAAATACCCAGTTTTTCAACTGCATTTAAAATATAAATATATTGGATGCATAGGCTAAACTTGACAGACAAGAGGGAGAGAACTCCTGGAGGTGTTGGGAAAGCAGCTTCAATCCTCTTCCCCTCTACAGCTCCCTGACATGAGGTCCAGCCAGGGGAGGGTTGGTGTCTTCTCCCAGGTAAAAACTAAGAGGACAAGAGTAAATACCCTCAGGTTGTACCAGGGGAGGTTTAGGTTGGAGTAAAAATTGCTTCAATCCTCTTCCCCTCTACAGCTCCCTGACATGAGGTCCAGCCAGGGGAGGGTTGGTGTCTTCTCCCAGGTAAAAACTAAGAGGACAAGAGTAAATACCCTCAGGTTGTACCAGGGGAGGTTTAGGTTGGATATTAGTAAAAATTTCTTCATGGAAAGGGTTGTCCAGCCCTGGCACAGACTGTCCAGGGCAGGGCTGGAGTCACCATCTCTGTGGATGTGGCATCTGAGGACAAGGTCAGTGGTGCACATGGTGGTGGTGCTGGTTGATGATCTTAAAGGTCTTTTCCAACCAATTCTGTGATTCCATGACTCTCTTGCCTACCTCAAACTCTGCTACAGCATCAGCACTTCAGATTCCAACTTTGCCAATGCTGAGTTACAAGGAGGAATGGTGAATTCTGCACCTGAAGTGCTTTTAAACATGTTTCCTCCTTTTAACAGCAATACAGAAAATTAAAGACACTTGAGAGAATTTTAACACCTAAGATGAGCCACTGAAACAGGTAATCTAGAATTGCACCTGATTTTTCTATAAAATAAATATAAAGCCAAAGACCTCTATTTTGTGAATTCACAAATCTCTCTGCTTTTGTCATCTCAGGGTTGATTGCCATGATTTTTCTCTTCATAAGGAACTACAGCTGGCACAAAATTCACTGCAGAAAATTGACCATGAATTGAGAATTGCTTCATCCTCAGAGCACTTCACACTTCCTTGTTAAATGAGGAACCTCTTGAATGTGTTTGCCATAAGCAAAACCTTTCCTGTCCTCAGGTGATGTCAGCACAGAAAAATACAATAAAATTGGATATAAGCACTGATTAGGAAAGAAAATATCCAATGGGCCTCCAAAAGCACTTGAGAATGGAACTCAAAGCACCTAATATCAAAGACTCACACTGTGAGTGGTCATATTTATGGGGAAGGGAGGAAAGCAAGGCCAAAGGTTTTGATGGTCATAGAATCACAGAGTGGTTTGGGTTGGAAGGACCTTAAAACTCATCTAGTTCTAGCCCTGCCATGGGCAGGGACACCTTCCACTAGCCCAGGTTGCTCCAAGCCCCAAGAGTCACTGGAATTGCTGCTGATGATGTAAGGAAATCAGAGTGATGAGTAAAAGCCTTCCTGGCTTTGGATCCTCATGCTCTCACTTGTGTTTGCTCTGCATTTTGAAGTGCCTGGAGAAATGAGGAGGCACTTTCAAATGTAAATGTGAAAAAGTAAATAAATACCAAACTCCTAATTTAGCAGCTCTGCATTCCTGATGCACAGATGAACTGAAATGCAACCCAACATAATCTCATTTCTACCTCACCTCTCTCCCAAAGAACTTTTAAAACAAGTTCCTTCAATCTTTTAACATCTATTTCCACATTCCTTCCAATATAGTTTGGCTTTTTTTCGACTTTATGAGGAAAAAGCAAGAGAAGAACAGAAATGCTCCCACATCACTGTGATTTGTGCCAATCAATCCCTCATGAGCCTTTTCATTAGGTAGGTGCCTTCCCCCAGTAAAACACACACACCTGGGCCCAGGCCAACAACACATAACTGAACAAAAGTAAGAAAAGCTGAACCTGCACATGTTGAAGTGAGAAATTTGCCCTCCAGCCCCTCCCAGCACCCAACCTGCCATGCACAAGGAGGGACCAGCATGGCCAGTGGGACCACCAGTCACATCCCTCACAAAGCCACAGGTGCTGCAGAGAGCAGACGCTCATGGCCATCAGCCACTTCCCACCCCGTGGCAGCTCTTGGCTGGGATTTGTGCTTAGATGATGCTGAAGAACTTTCCTTCCTACCCTCCCAGATAATCCAAGGGTGATGACTGTTTCCCTCAAGAAACTTCCTATTAACAAATATCTTTATTTTTTGTCTTTAAAATGACCTTCAGTCCCTTCCAGTGCTGCCTGCACAGGCAGGTTGTTGCCTAGGGATGGACCAAAGTCTCCTGCAAAGTCAAGTCTAAACCCCAAGTTTAGTTTTAGTTTTGGCTAGACCCCAAACCTGCATCTAAAACAACACCAGCAGTGCTTACAGCAAGGAATTTCATTCAGTGAGCTAAAAGGAATTCAGTAGCCCATTTAAGAAAATTAATGAAAGTAAAAGCATCACTTTAAATGTTTTATAATCTTCTGGTGGATAATGTGGGAAGAGAATTCCCCTGATGTTGTTCAGAGACTGCAGGAGCAGCAGCAGTAACTATTTCCCACATGACTTTGCCCATCCATGTTCACCCCAACGTTAAAAGTTATCACAACGTGGCACTTAATTTCATCCCCGCTAACAAAAAGGTTCCTCAGTACCTGGAATTTGGCTGTGAAAGATCTCATGCTGAGGAATTCTCCTAACATGGTAGAGTAAATACAGAAGTTCCTCAGGAAAACAAAGGTGTTGTGCAAAGCTCACAAACGTGGGACTCCCTTAGTCTCTGGGAAATGACATTCATGAGTAGACAATAAGACACGGCAAAAATCAGACTTCTGAGATAATTATCATCATTTTCCTTTAAAATAATGGGATCTATTTAACATCAAGTGATTGATTTCTCTTATGAGAATGTTGGGAACACTGGCAGTAAACAGAATGGTAAGGAAGAGCTTTTCTCAGGTCTTGTGTTTATCTTAATGCATAAATAGCAAAATTTCCTGTAACAATTGTTCTCTGTTTAAAAATATCAACATCTTATCTAGGATAATTTTGAGGAATAAAGCCACAGTTACATCACACAACCTATCACTGACTGGTTCTGTGGCACATGTCTAGTGAAATGGCCATTGAACAATCACAGAATCATTTAGGATGAAAAAGCCCTCCAAGACCATTGAGTCCAACCATTCCCCAGCACTGCCAAGGCCAACACTAACCATGTACCCAGGTGCCAACTCTAAACAGATTTTAAACCCCTCAAGGGATGTGACTCCAGCCCTGCCCCGGGCAGCTGTGCCAGGCCTGGACAGACCTTTGGAGAAGAAATTTCCCCTAACCTCCAATTTAATTCTCCCCTGGCACAACTTGAGGCCATTTCTTCTTGTCCTACCACTTGCCACCTGGGAGAACAGACCAAACTCCACCTGGCTACAACCTCCCCTCAGGGAGTTGTAGAGAGCAATGTCAAAGCCTCAACCCCATTTTTGCTGGCCAAAAGCTACTTTAAGTGACCAACCACCTCACTGAGCAGCTCACAACCTTCTGGTGTGTCATACTCCAACCTTTCAGCAGCAACTGTTGGGAGCTGAATGACACTTCTATTGCCATCAAGCAAGAATGAGGGAGATGGGAGCCAACCCCTTGGTGTGAGCAGGGGACACTGAGCACATGGCACTGACCTCTCTGGAGCAGGGGATGGTGGAAGGCTGGCACAGGCAGGCTCCCCACTGTTGCTGGCTCACAGAAGTAGGCTCTCAGCCAGGCCATGCACTGCCTCAGCGGCTCCGGCATCTCCTCTGCCCCCTCACACACCTCACAGGTGGCTGAGGACTCTGCCCTGCTCAGAGAGAGAGAAAGGCACAGTTACAATGGTAAAAATCACAAACCTGGTTGGACAGGGCTTGGAGCAACCTAGGCTAATGGCAGGTGTCCCTACTCATAGACACCTACTCTGCTCTTGTGAGGTCCCACCTGGAGTGCTGCACACAGTTGTGGTGCCCTCAACACCACAAGGACATGGAACTGTTGGAGCAAGGCCAGAGGAGGCCACAAAGCTGTTCAGACCACTGGAGCACCTTCCCTACAAGGACAGGCTGAGAGAGTTGGGGCTGTTCAGCCTGGAGAAGAGAAGATTGTGTGGAGACCTCAGAGCAACCTGCCAGGAGCTGAAGGGGCTCCAGGGAAGCTGCAGAGGGACTCTGTGTTAGGAACTGCAGGGACAGGACAAGAGGAAATGGGGAGAAATTGAAAGAGGGAAAAAGTTAGGTTAGATCTTAGGCAGAAGTTTTCCCTGTGAGGGTGGTGAGACCCTGGCCCAGGTTGCCCAGGGAGGCTGTGGCTGCCCCAACCCTGGCAGTGTTCACAGCCAGGTTGGATGAGCCTTGAGCAACCTGCTCTGGTGGGAGGTGTCCCTGCCCAGGGCAGGGGCTGACACTGGATCTCTAAGGTCCATTCCAATCCCTTAACATACTATGATACTCTGAATGAGATGAGCTTTAAGGTCCCTTCCAACCCATACCAGCCTGGGATTCTATGATAACACAGACTAGTCACACTCTCTACATCAGCTAAATAAAAGCCTCAAAACATTCAATATGAAGTTAGACTTCATTTTTTTTCTGCTCAGATAATGGTGAAGAGATTCATAACAACAGAACAAACATTCACCCTCATCCCCTCTAGAAAGGCAGTGACAACACAACATTGCAAACACCTGCAAAAATCCATGGAAGACTGGGACAAGGACAATCCCATATGTAAGTGGGAGATGTCAGGGAACAAGAAAAGCATCCCAGCCCCTAGTGGATGATGCACCCTTGTGCTTCCAGAGTGGATGGAGGGGAAGCTCCTCCTCCACATCCCCCAAGGGCACAGTCCCTTCTCCCCAGGGACCATCCCTGGGGATAGGAGGAAAGGAAACAGCTTTCTGCTGCTCCTGCTCCTTCCCCTGCCCCGTTTCCTCCCAGTGACGTGGCAGGTTTCTGCTTTCCTCCTCTTATTGAATTGGAAGGAAGCAATTGAGAATTCATTTGATTTTCAATGGCAGCTCGTGCTTGCAGGGTCTGAAGAGCAAAGTGAGCAAACAGAGAGCACCTGCAAAGGAAAATGGTCTTCTTCCCTTGCTTCTTGTTTTTTCTTTTCCTCTGGTACAGCAACATGTGTATAAGAGTGACGAAAAATTGGACACTGGACTCGCACATGTCCAGTTTCCCAACCTGTCTGCTTTCAGGCAGGCAGAGGAGCCCTGGTGACAGGCTGGTGGTGCTCTCCTCGTGCTTCCCAAGGCTGTGATGTTGTGGCAGGTCTCTCAAAACTGCAGAGACCTGTTTCAAGCTATCAACAAACAGAACCGATGAACAATGCACCCATGAGAAACAATGGAGACAACATCAAGGGTGATGGCCAAGACAGCAAGCCCTGCCAGCAATCTTCTTAGATCCACCACCTTCAGCACCACTGATGAGTCAACCAAAGGTTTCCTGATTGTTGCAGCTTTTTCTCCCAGCTGGAAACACAGTTCCTCACTACTGTGTTGCTAAACTTCAACAGCAGAGTCTTCTACAGGAGGCTGGATGTGCCCCAAAGCAGGAGAAAGGAAAGAAAGTTGCAGAAATACCAAAATACACAAGAATCTGAGACGAGAGAAGAGAAACCAGAGCAATAGTGCCACACAGGGTGGGGGGAAAGAGCAAACCAAATTCCCTAGCACAACCGAGTGTGCTGCAGGGGAGCAAAACCACCTCCTGAGCTCCCTCCTAGCAAAAGCCAAAGCAAATGAGACATGTGATGTTCCAGTAATGGCATCAAAGACCTCAGCTCTGCCTGTGACGTGGCTGTCAGCAGTGGCTCTGGCCAGAAGTGATGTGCCAGCAGGAGCTGGGTCAGAGCTGCTCTCAGAAGCAAAGCTCTCGCTCACCTGGTGCATGATCAAACAGCCCTGCCATCTCCCCCAGCCCCAGCTCATCTCCTGATTAACTGGTAACCACTGAAAGCCATCTAATTCCTGATGAGATAGCAGCAGAGAAGAGGAGGGACAGGGAGATGGACAATTAAAACACTCCAGTCACACTCGAGTCCATAGCTTAGAGCAGTGGCAAAACAAAACTGAACAATCAGCTTTGGATCCTGTTTTCTGGGAATTAAGTGTACTTTTACTTCTCCCTTTCTATTTATTTATCAAATTAAATCTTATAATTCTGTGTGTGAAGTAAGATCAATTTGCTTTCTGAACCCAATGTCTACTTCATGTTATTTTTCTATACAAGAGTCTCTTTGCTAATAAAAAAGGGATGAGAATCCATGCACAAAATTTTTAGCATGAATGCCCAGCACATGGACCTCAAACCAAGCTTCCCACACCAAGGATAATCTGCTATTTCACACAGGTACACCACAGCAGAGTGTGGCTCTGTTTTACTGTGGGTTGTTGGAGCTCTGACAATGTAATAACAACAGAAGATGATAATAATAACAGCTCTGAAACCTCAAAGAGAAGTTGGGAGACTTTTCTGCTCCATTTCTCCAGGAGAGCATGGAAAGCACTCAAAACTACAGTCACCTTATGTTTTTCACATCATCTTGTTTCACATTCTTGGGAGTCTGGAAGTGATTTGGGCTGTAATATCATCATAAACCAGAAAGGTTTTGCCTCCTCCCAGCTCTGTGAGCAGCTCCTGCAGTTGAGCTCCAGGCTCTCCCTCCCACTACCACTCAGGGACCAACCCAACAGGCACCAAACCACCACCACTTACCCCCAAAACAGCTGGGGAGACTCTGCAAACCCCTTCCAGAACCTAAGGAGGTTCCAAGAGAGCTGCAGAGGGACTTGGGACAAGGGCATGGAAAGACAGGACACAGGGAATGGCTTCTCACTGCCAGAGGGCAGGACGAGGTGGGATGTTGGGAAGGAATTGCTCCCTGTGAGGTGCTGAGGCTCTGGCACAGGTTGCCCAGAGCAGTTGTGGTTGCTCCCTGGGAGTGTTCCAGGCCGGGTTGGATGGGGCTTGGAGCAAGCTGGACTAGAGGAAAATGTCTCTGCCCAGGGCAGGGGGTGGAATTAGATGGTTGTTCAGATCCTTTCCAACCCAAACCATCACACACACATTCCTCACTTCTCCCAGGTGTTTCCTTGACAGGACTGTTTGGATAGAATTCATTTATTTATTATATTACTGCTTTGCAGAGCAGTGCCCTGTCACAGCTGAACATCTCCAGATGTTTTGGGTGGTGGGACCATCCTCCCAGACACCTTCCTGTCACTTCCAACTGGGCCAAGAAAGCAAACACTGCAAGGCAAAATGAGTTTCTTCCTAAGAATGCACTGACTTCTCTTCCTGTAGAACACAAACTCCATGTGCCAACACACACACACCACAAGCTTCAAACTGCCAGAGAGTTAAAACAAATGAAAACCTTCACATTAGTTTTCCTTGGCTAGAGATGCTAACAGCTATTCCTGGGAATTTGACAGCATCAATAAAGAAGAAGAAACACAACTTATGCATGGGTGTCTTCGGCTGGTCCTCCTCCCATTCCTGCCCTTCCCTCCTCCCCTTTCCCTTTCCAAAGCTGCATAGCAGCACTCCCACAAACTACCTCAGCACTAAAACCCCAACTGAAAACACCAGCTGCCTTGTAAAGGATTTTCTCAGGCTTCAAAGCCATGTTTTGGTCCAACCAAACCACACATATGCTTTAAAAAGCACAGTCCAAGCGGTCTCAAAACAGGAAAGGAGAGCAGGTGAGTTACATCATGGGAAACCTCCCCCTCAGAGGAAATCCCCCTGCTCACTGCTAGACTTCTTGGAAGGTTTCTGAACAGCTTACTCCAGGCACAGATCTTTGAGCATCTCTGATGTCAAGAGGGACAGGAAAAAATTGAAAATTAGAGAAAAAAAACTATCTAAGAGTCATATCAACTTCTTGTGCTTAAACTCCACCAATGAACAAGAGAAATGGACTCTCTTCTAAATCTCCTGCCCTTGGTGACGCCCAAGGAAAGGACTTGACTCTGGTCATAGAGGCACCAGCAGCACACAAAGTGTTGCCCAAAGTGGCCACACTGGTTATGTTTAGTGGTTATGTTTAACCTACTGAAACCTTAAGTCTTAAACCTGCAATTCCATGAGAAGGAATTCTCACTGTTTTACAGGAAAATAAAATAAGCATATCTAAAAATGCAAAAAAATACAAACAGAAGCTATAAAAAAATCCACTCTTGCCACAGAGAATTCAATTTTCTTCGCTTACAAAATAGCTCTTTCTTGCAACACGGCTAGAAAAATGAGAAGCACTATTTAAAATACTTTAGTACTACTCAAATCACTTCCACTCTGATCAGAGTCTGTCACTGCTCTTGTTTACATCGGTGAATTGTGTTGGGTGCACATGACATCCCAAACAATCCCAAGTGGAGGTTTTTGTCCCTTCACCTGGGCAACAAATAGTCATTTCTGTAGGGTTTTCATGCTGATTTTAGTTAATTTCATTTTTTCACTTGATTCTTTGCTGTTTGCTGACTGTGGCAGCCTCTAACCCGTCAGCAGTGACTCAGGTTCTGTCTGAGCTTCACAGCGATGTGAGATATTGAGCTGCACGTGACTGAGTCACCTACACAGCAACACAATGTGCTGCTTAATTCAAACTACAACCACCTCCAACACAAAAAAAGCTTGGTTTAAGCTATAGAAAGACATCTAAAAATAGATATATAAAGCTATTTATCGATCACAATGAGACTTTCTGACAGGTCAGAGAACATTTGCTGGTGCTGCACATCTCCAGCCTGCGGTGGAGAAGCCAAGGGAGACACAAGGTCAGTCCCACCACAGGAACCCA